ATACTGTATAGACCGGAGTAAATCGATCGATACATACCTTTGAAGCTCTGCCTTTTCTGTTTCCGCGTCATTCCCCCCGGTTGGAACGACAGGGGTATAGTTAGACGACATTAGGGCTTGCGCGGCAGCCAAACTCTCGCGGATCACCACATAGCCTGGCTGGCCGCAATCCTCCGCGCGCACTGGGATATCTTGTTGGGAGATGTGCACCAGGAGGGTTCGGTAGTCGTTGATGATCTCAGCCACTCTGAGGGCACGTGCCTGGTTAACTTCATGCATCTTCATTAGTATCGCATCACTTTGCAAACTAATGGAAATCCCGGGTCAGGATTGAAGATGAATTGCTTACGTCCGTCTGCCATGGCTACTTTCTCTTAGAAGCGATTCTAGGGAATGGACGACTAGGGACCAAAGAGTAACAGCCCAAGTAGGTCAAAGGAAAGATAAAGTGGATAGTAGCGCAATTGATATACTAAGACGGCGAAGCCAAGCTAAGTCCCTGGGAAAGAGTGGCTGTTCTATAATAGTGTTCCATCATTGAGGGTGAGATATGCCTTTTAAATTCGATCTTCATGGCCACCGATGACAGCTTTCTGGTCCATCCCCGCCAGCCAAGGAGGAAGAGCTTTACTCGGGGAGATCATCATGAACAGTGGCTGGCTGCAAAAATGACTGTTGCTGCTGAGGAGAGGATACGGATATCACAGCTCGGGACCACAGCTGGGCAATGACAAGTTGAGGTGGAGCCCATAGTAGGTAGAAGCCCCATCCGAGGCCATGTGCCTAACGGACTTTAGTCCTCTGATTTCAAGGAGCGCGAACGCTAAGCAGCTGGTACGTCAAACAGGATCCAAGACTGGGTCTGCATGAGCATAGTAAGGGAGGAAAAAAAATCAATAATCAAAATCAATAATTGAATAGAACCGAAAATAATCAACAAGAATATTCAAAATAAGGAAAAAAGAAAATATATAATGAAAGAAAAAAGAAAAAAAAGTCTAAACCCCACAGACTAAATACAGTAGCAAAATGATACATCCAGCATGGATCATCTCATGTGTCAGTTTACCGCACCAGTGGAAACGCACCCACCGTGGCTTTCTGGGATGCTGGATCTCGGAAAACCGAGTAGACTCTATCTTGCAGGACAGGTGCAGCCCGCCAAGTGGAACACCCTAAGGGACGATGGATCCCAATGGGCTGATTGTCCGTTCGCCAAACTCCTAAAAATGGCGCTAAGCGCCGAACTAGTTAGTAATTCACCAGCTGTGCTTTCAGGTTCCCAAGCATTCCGGCCATGTTCTCGCCACACTTTAGTCCCACGATATGCACGAGGGAATCCGATGCGTTTCAGGTTCGGAGGCATCGACCGGTTAGGAAAGGTTTCATCCGAGGTCAGAGGAGAAGCAAAACATCATGGATACTCCCTGACTCACTCTGTCAATTGAGTTTTCAGGGACCCTACATTTGCCTCGATGATGACGAGATGAACTCCGCGAAAGCCACACTTCCCAGCTCAGCCACACCCCCGGCCACGGTTCCCGGAGACCAGCTGAAGCCATCCAAAAGCAATGATTGACAGCCTCAGGCGAATCTCCTTCCCGCTCACGGCCTTGCTGTCACGTCTGCCCAACTGGCTCGGCTCCGGTGGCGATTCCTATCTGCAATGCACATTCGACTACGTCAAGAGATGGCCCCAGGGCATGCAAGACAGCTATCCACTCACCCTTCCGTATCCTCGCTCATTCCCTCCGACGGTGCTTCGCGCTTGCATAGCGCTCACTAACTGCACTCCTTGCAGATTGTCACGTCTCAGATACTGTGGAGACACAGAGAGCTTGCAGGTTGTGTAATCTCTGCTCGAACCCATCACAATCCCCCATGTCAAATCTAATTCATACCGAGATCCTGGATCCTGCACGTTGCCACAGACCTGGAGAAGTTCAGGCGAATCATCGTCCTCCGTCTACTGTTTTTCTGCCCTGGCAGCAAGGGTCCTGCAACTATATCACCAGGCGAAGGACGCATTGTAACAACCGGAGTCGGAGTGATGCTATTAAATATCATTCGGGTCTAGCAAACATGCATGTTCATACGTTCAACATTCAGTCCTTTTCGGCAATCGCCTGCAGCCGTTCATCAATCTCATCCTCCGTCAGAGCCCGGAAATTGACATCCGTGCCCTCCTGGCCATCCGCCCGAGGGCCGCCAACGATTCCAATCTCCAATTCGTGCTTCTTGAAATCGACGCTAAGCACATTGCTCAAGGCTGTGATTCCCAATTCGACAACTTCCTCCCAACTGCCCTCGGCGTAATCCTTGTTCTTCAGCTTCTTTTCCAGGTAAGTGATCGCCTCCTGCTGTTTCGGACCAGATGCGGTGGCCTTGTATCCGACGTAGTAGCCTGCAGGGTCGCATTTGTAGACCTGTGGGCCATTCTCCGAATCGACAGAGATCAGGGTCGTAGCGACTCCTAACGGGCGCATGTAAGCCTAGAAAGTATTTGCGTCAGTCCACAGAACCCCGTATTGGCCAAGACGGATGATACATACCCTCTGTGTGTAGACCTGATTTATATTGGCAAGTCGCTTCGCAAGAACATCACAGGGCATTTCGTAACCGTATTTGTATCGGAATTCCGCCGCCTCTCCACGAGCACGGTCAACGGAAGCCCTAGCATCCGCTATAGAACCGGTCATGACACAACCAACCGAGGGAGAGAGCCGAAAGATATGTGAAACGGAGGATGGATCAATCAGTTTGTCCTAAGGTATCGATTAGACAATCTCAGGACTCAAACATGTGCGGAAAATATCGCTTACAGCAACTTTCTTCTGAGACAACACCACGGCGCAGGTCTTTCCCCTCACACCCAACGAAGTTATGTTGGCTGAAGTGATGGCTTTGAAGGCATACTCTATTGATGACGGAATATGGACGATCAGCTATCCAGTTGTCTTATGGTGATGGTCCCCACATGTTCGGTTGATGCCGAACTGTTTCTCAAGGACATAGTTTCCAAACCGAGGCACTTACCGACTTGATACAGACGACCTTGGTCCGAGAAGATTGTGATATGTCTGTCATATGCGCTTCCTGCTCGCAAAACGAAGGTCAGTAATCGATGAAGTCATGGCACCAGGCTAATCAATTTATCCAAGGACCCTACCAGACATGATGGCGACGAGTGTATATAGTACTCTGCAAAGTTACCAAGAGGGAATAACAAAAATGGAAGTGGTAACGAAGGTATCGAGAGGCACGAAGAGGGGGAATGGCGATGGGGGATGATGAGGTTCGAAAGGACGCGTGCCAGAGGGTGCCTGAGGGCCGGAGCTCTGAGCTATTGAGTAAGCTCCACCGTCACCGCCTTTGGACAGCGCATATCAATTGGCGGATCGATGAATCCGACAAGTTACTACTAGTACATACCATTTATACATGGGAAACTTGGGTATAGATTATGGCTCGTTTGTTTTTATGCCTTCATAAGCAAGTTTTGAATAGAATAAGTTCTGAAAATACTGTTCTATCCGTATATACTGGGTATACATGGCAACTAACAACAGGCGAATCATGCCATCAGTTTGACGAACTCCTTCATATGCCTAGACCAGGTATCCAACTTTTCGCTAAAGACTTTTCGAACGTAATCCTTGAGAACTTTTTGACGATGTTTCACCGTATGAGCATGGACTCCAAGTGAGCCACCTCGAGCAGAAATGTAGGAGAAAAAGACGAGATAATAGGCTCGAAGAACCTATGCAATGGAAATTAGGAAGAGGAAGAGGAAGATGACGACGAGGATGACGAATCGCTTGAGCTTGTGCTTTCAGAATCGCTGTCACTGCTCGAATCAGAAGACGAATCTCTGGG